TTATTGGCCGATGGCGAAGTGAATATTGTTGAATAATGATACCCGAGACGAAGTCGAGGGAATTATGCAACAATGTTCACAGAGCTTGATGCGTATAATTGTTGCAGTATAATTGCACAGGTCCTTTCGAATTCTGCTGTAAATTCTGCAAACAAAAAGAGCATTGCGCATATTTTGCTACAATTGTGATCATTCGTGTCATGATAAGCAAGGAGGTTTTGCAGAATTATCCAATTAAATCAGCAAATAATTAATAACTCTCTTTTGAAAAAAGTTCTGCCATACTTAGAAGCATTTTTGTGCTCTTCGCAATTTAATTTTCTTTTATCACGTTTATCACTTCCGTGGAAGCATAACCAAAACGCGACGCAGCCAGTCCCTGCTATAATCATCTCCTGCGAGGCGATTAAAGCGAGGTATGACAACAACAGTTACCAAACTTTTTCGGCGGCATCTTGTGAGACAATAGATAGCTGCCCCCACATGTCTGCCTTTGGTTTCTGACGGCTGTTCCTCAGGACTTTCACGTTTTGAATGAACATGATCCACAACGATTGTCTGCCTCTCTTTCGACGCCACATCCTTTCCTCTGCCATGAATGTCATCCTTTCCTCTGCCATGAATGTCGGATTTACTTCGTTTTTGTCGTAAATTTTAGCCATCTTATGAAAGTGCTTCAAAGCCACTTAAGGGAACGACGAAACATTTACCGAAAAAAGAAAACGACTTGAGCCGATATGGAGCGATTTAGCCAATCTGATTCTACTTCACGAGATCTAACCTAGGTCAAGACTTCTTTCAAAGGCACGTCTTTTCTATATGTTTGTTTTGTTTTGTTTGCTTGTTTTTTTTTCCGTTTTAATATAAAGGTCACATTTTACTTAGTTTTGCAAACACAATACAATTCAGGATTTACTAAAGACGGGTGTGGAAAAATGGACCGACTGGGTTTTTAGTCATTAAAACATCCACCGTGTCCACTAAGTTTTTTATTAAGAAGCGCGCTCGCTTAAGTTTTTTCCGAACCACTCTTAAATAACTGAAATAACTGAGTTACTACAAGTGCCCTGATAGATCAATTCCTATCCTATACCTAAAAAATATTTAAACACACTGAGTTTTGTGTGACGTTTACTTTATCGAGGCAATAGACAGTACTCTCTTTCGGATAACTGGCGTTGTAATCGAACAGTCACAATCACTCGCTTCCGACTCGTGATTTACACAATTTTCTCGTGTTCTCCCAACGTCATGCACGGGTTTTTACGCTGGTAAACCGATAGAAAATGCGGTCTACTGCTTTATAAAAACATATAAATGTGGGAAACATTCTTCGCTTCATAATAAGTTTATGTCACAATACCGTAAAGCGGATATAACGTTGACAAATACATACTGGTATGGTGGCTTTCAATAAGTTTTTCTGGGTGTACATTTTTGCTGCAAGGAAAAAATGTAGCGACTTATCTGGTTGAAAAATTGACTTAACTTCTATAATTCGAACAAGAATTAAAAGCGAAGGAATCAAATTATCCTGCCAAAACTTTTTTTACTGTTATGATATTTCAAAAACGAAAAAGTTTTCCAGTTGTTTTATTTATCCCCGAGGGTTTTTTAACTTTAATACTCTGTCAGTTTTGGCACGAACCCCCATGCAGCCTGTCCTACCAGAGGGATCAAGCACTCTTCGACTCGTTTAAGGTAACGCACCAAGTTGTTGATGCGGTTAATGATACAGTTTGGGCTCGTGAACTTGCAAATTTATTTACAAAGAAATGTCTTTTTACAGCCCTCACGGGTTAGCACAATGAAATTAACTTACGCCCCAGCAGGAACTGTAGACAATTATCCATTTCCAGTGTGGAAATGACAACATTTTGACTGTGTATTTCTATGCTGTGCTGTGACAACACGCTGAGATCATCGTTCGCGATATGTACGTCACGTGGCCTTGTAACAGCTGTTGGACGTAGTAGCTTAAAAACAATCCAGTGGCTGGTATTTTGTTCTTCAAAGATATTAAATTTCGAAAGAATGGTTCTGCTGTTTTCAAGGTTTTTTTTTTCATGGAAGATTCCAAATATTTATGTTTCAATGTCACAAAGTAGCATATTAACTCCGCCCACGCTCCTTTAAATCGTGACGATGGCGGCTTGTTTCCTGACGCCTATTTACACCTCGTCGGAAAAAAAGCTAGCTAATGATTGTTCATATAAAAGGACCTCTTGTTGCAGCGTTTAGATCACCCATGATGAAGGCATTAGACAGGGGTGTAGAAACGTTGGGTCTATGAATTTTAACTTCTTCGGTTACATTCATTAAACCTGTAAACCAGAGTAGCATCAAACCATGTCTGATCTTGGTATCTTGCGGTTTCCCAGGCCGTGATCACATCTAAATAACAGTCTGTGATCACGCTTTCCACTCGTGATTTCTAATCACAATTTGTGTGGCACCTACCTCCTGAAGGAGGGAAGGCCACATATGTTATTTCCTGTGTGAACACGCCATCATCACAGGCTTCACAGGCCGTGATCACATCTAATTAACAGTCAGTGATCACGTATTCCACTCGTGATTTCTAATCACAATTTATGTGGCTACTGCATTCAATAGGAGGCGAAGCCACAAATTTTATTTTTCTTTGTGATCACGTTCTCATCACAGGCTTCCCAGGCCACGATCACACCTAATTACCGGTCTGTGATCGCGCTTTGCACTCGTGATTCCTAATCACAATTTATGTGGCTACTGCTTCCTATAAGAGGCGAAGACACATCTGTTATTTTCCTATGTGATCACGCTATCATTACAGGCATAGTCACGGCGTGACCACGCTTCAAATATTTATTCCCGTGATCACTCCTTTAACACTTGATCTTTTCAGTGCAATATTTTCCAAATTTTGCAATCAAATGTACCTAATCAAAATCCGGAACCGTGTACAACTCACTTGTTTACTAGCAGGAAGTTTAGACGCCCACCAATGAACGTCACGTTTCGCTGTGAAGAATAAAATCGGTATCAAGCGTGAGCAAAGCATTTATTTCATTTAATGCGTATATTAGAAAAATGAGCGATTTCACGTTTTTTGCTTTTGCAGCAAACTGAGGGAAACGGGATGGATACGGAAGATTTCTAGTTATAACCATAATTATTTACACTCCTAAAAAGAGCAATGGGCCTTTCCGGCTTTTTTGTTTGTTTGTTTTCTTTTTTTTTTATCATTGCGAATTCCTTCCTCCTCTCCTCCGTTTCCGTCAATTACATTGCTAACACCTCACTACTATCAGCAACTGATATAGGTACCATTAAGTGATTAACAGCAATTGAACACTAGCATTGCTTGTGTCATGAGAATTGCCTCGTAAATAAATTAAGAAGAACGTAAAGTTTTATTGACCAATTCTTACTGCGCAAGTTGTACGCACTGCATGTAATTCAAGCTGGTGAACAGTTTTCAGTTGAGCGGTCAAAAGTCATGACTTATTCCTATACCTCTATTATCTTTAGTTCATGGTTATGATAGCCAGTATCACTCACGAATGTCATCAGTGAAGTATATCGACCTTACATATCAATAGTGAACTGGTTATAAAAAAACATTCACAGCGAACTGATCCGTTTTCAGGCTTTTCAAGTCACTGTACCCGGCTGTGCTGGAAATTTCATAATTGTCTTCTTCCGCTATAAGATCTCTACTGAATCATACATGTTGCATTTAATTTAATGTTCACTTCACGAAACTCAGTTGAAAATGCTCCAGGTAAGATAAATGTATTTAGTAAGAGTTACACGATTTCTTCAAAACATGATGATTTTACTATTCTGCTCTATTTACACAGCCAAAAAAGCTGACCTACAAAATTATTCAACCAATCTTAGTTTCCTCCTGTTAGACCATCTATGATTTACATTAACTTTTTTTTTTTTTTTTATAAAGAAATGCTGTTTATAAGTGTTTATCTCATTTGCTATGCGTTGAAATTTCTTCTCGAGTATGGAAGACAAATACTTGACTGAGGAATCGTGTGCAACTTTTAACTCTTAACTAACTTTTAACTATTTTTTTCTAACTTTTAACTTCCTTACCCTAACCTAGACCCAGAGTAATTAACACTAGCATTTGGGATTTCATCTCTACGCCATGATTAATGGTTTCATAGGATTGAAACAAGGGCAAATTTCTTTCAAAACTCCTCCACTTGGAAACTTTTTTTTTTTTCATTTTAGAGTGAAATTGCGATGAAAACAGTTAAACTTTAATACCATACCTTACTACCATATACTAGATAGTATTAACACACACTAGTCCTTACATAATCGTGTTGCTTTCTTTTTAAAGCATCTATCAACTAGACTGAACACACCATTAACACTAACAAAAGCGGCATCTAATTTTTAAAATTAACAAGATACCCGAAAAAAATTACTCAGTTCTGATTGGTTAGCATAAAAGCAGTTTTTAGGTAATTCAATGCAGAAGAGGGTTAATTCAGTGCAAAGAAGTAACAAACGAGACTGAACAATTTCTTGAACTGTTTAGCCGGTCTTGGACTTTTTTGCGCCTTACGATGTAAAAATATCTTTGTATATTATTGTTTTGATGGTACGCGGTTGTTTTGAAAGACTGCCACATATTGCACTCGCCTTAGGGGCTCGTGTAATTTTGTTAGTCTTTGAAAAAATTACCTCGTGCTTGTTTATTCCAAATTGCACTCGAAATCAAGTGATTGCCAATACGAACTGAAGCTAAATTATCATACTGTGCTATATGTTGCGTCCTGTATAGCAGCTTATAACTTTTAGAGAAACGAGTTTCGGCATATTTTGTCAGTTATCATGCTGATTCCTGCTTGTCTAGGATTTCACTATCTTAGCATTTTCCTTTTCTATGCTTTTCTTTGTGTTCACTAGTAGTTCTTTTAACATAAATTAATTATTTCTGATTAAAATTATGAAAGAGATGCCTTGTAAAATGTGAAATTCAATCAATATTTGATTACACTTTAAAGGGACATCATCAGCGTACAAAATTTATACAAGAAATTAATGATTATCATAAAAAGAGGACTTCGCAAAATCCCTAAATAACGTGGACCTGCGGATGAATTTATGAGTTCTCTTATTTCTTAAAATTTTTGCTTCACATTCAGTCTGTACCACAGTACCGCGAGTTACAAGTAGCTGGCTTTTGAAGTTTGTAGATGAAGTAGGATCCACAGTTTTTAACAGAAATTTTTTTTGCGTATTGGCAACCAGTAGAGCGATCACTAAAGCAGACCTTCCTTTGAACTTTACCATCTTCCACTGTAGGATGAGAACCATCCAACCAGCCTGACCAGTCTGCACCACATCTGTATGCTGGCACACGTGTTGTTGGCATTTTTGTTCCCGCAGCTCCAACAAAACGATACCATCCCTCAGGAAGTTGCTTGTCACACAACCCTGAACCGTAAGGTGTTGAGTAATTCATCTTTCTATTAGCATCATTCAGATTTTTATAATGATAGCAATGATCGGCTGCAAAGTGAAATAATTATTACAACAGGACTTAGGTTATTAAAGAAGACAACTACATTAAAAAAAAGAGAGGTGAAGTAATACTTGCGTGGGGCATTTTCGGACCATGAGGTTAAGAAATAAATATGGGAAATAAAATGTATAAACTACGAAAAGCAGTCTCTGAATTTGTGTTTCCTCTTTCTTCAATAACGCATTAAAGACAGCTTTCGGCAGAATTAACGCGCAGCTAACGTGGTTTATATACAACTAAGCAGCAATATGGTCGTTAATGGCCACCTGAATAGGTAAGATTCAGATCGAGTCTAACCTATAGCCATCTTAACTAATTTAATGGCATGGTAGATACCAAACGTACCTTTACAGTTTGTACCATTCCCAATGTATTTAGGTTTACAGGAACAGTTGTATGAGCCCTGAGTATTAGTGCAAGAGGCATTCGGATGGCAGTTGTTCATTTTCACTGCATGAGCCTCACCGCATTCGTCGATGTCTGAAAGAGAACATACATTTCGTCATAATCAAGCTACAACGAATGTCAATCAAAAGAACGTTTCACGCCGTCGTTTATTATTGTTGCAACGCCCATCCAATGGCAGAAAGACGCAAAAAGCATCAACGATGAAGGGGGTCCGTAACATGATGTAAGGCGGTGTAATAGAAATAATCCAATACTCATTATGATAAAGTTCGGATATAACGCGTGCTGTCATCGGTCGAAGAAGAGTCCTCTATCAGAGTACTGAAAACATATACTTAGTCTGACCATTTCTCGAACCTCTCCCTATCTTTTTTTATTAATTGAAAGTAAAATTTCGGAATGAGCGAAGTAGTAACAGAAGAACCAAATATAAAACCAACTAAAAAAGGTTAAAAGGTTTCAAAACATGCCAAGCGCTGTAATTTACGCTATCATAACGTGAGCAGAGACACAAATGCTTCTCGACTACGTCTAGTGTTTCTCTCTACTCTTCGTTCGTGTTCTAGCCACTTCTTAGGTGCTTTAAAAAAAACAACAACAACAGACAAAAATTCATTATGATGGTCAAAACGAATATGAAGGCTTCTGAAATGATTGACTGTACCTGTACAGTTGCGTCCATCTCCAGTATATCCAGGTTTGCATGTGCAAACGTGTGATCCGTGCGTGTTGTTACAAAGAGCACTTACATGACATTTGTCGGGGTATGTTTTGCATTCGTCAACATCTGTAAAAAAAAAAAAAAAAAGGAGAAGAAGAAAAAGAAAGAGAAAAGAATGAAAAATGGGATGTGTTTTTCATGCAAAAGTCATACATGTGCATGTATATGAAAAAAGTGGAATACTCGTTTGCAATTTTTTGGTTTAATGCGATTCTCGGGTTGGACCTGTAAGTCAAACTGCTATTTTTAAAATTTTTTTCATATTGGTATAGTAGAGGCTATATTAAGCATACGCTATAAACTGCTCTAAACAAATCCAAAAAAGAAAACAAAAAAACAACAAACAAGCAAAAAAACCAAAACAAAACAAAAAGAAAATATACAAACGAGCGAACGAAGAAAACATTACACACGCTCAATAAAATATAGGAAGAAGTTTTCCTTAGATTCTAAGATTCAGCACTTTTTGCAATGAGACAAATTCACGCCACTTTTAGCAATTAAAGAACAGTTGTCATACCAGCCTTGAAAACCAGAAAAAATCTCATATACGTTCATTTTAAGTGTTGACTTAAACTCATACCGTTTTCACAATGTTCTCCCTCGAATCCAGGAGGACACAAGCATTGAAATCCCTTGAGTGTAAATCCAGACTGGCAAGTTGCGTTATTTTCGCAGTAGGGACTCTTGTCACAAGCGCTCTAAAGAAGAAGAAAAATTTAAATGAAAGAAGAAACAAAGTATCGAATTATCGAATATATGAAAATTTGCATAAACGTTAATTATTGTTATTATATTATTCAAAGGCGACAGTTTCGAAAAATCGATTTGTAACTCACCTTCGAGCCACGATAATAAAAATTGGCATCAGTTGTCAAGTCACTCTCGTATTTCAGATGAGTGGCGTTATTTAATTCACAGATGTGAACTGCTTCATTATACTCTGAATCTTTTTTGAAGTTAAGGCTGACACAGTCGTCGTTTAGGTAGCACATTAGCTCACAGTCATCCAAGTTGTTGACGCTCTTATTTTCAATGATATGGTTTACCAAACGCCTTTCAGCAAAGAAGTAATAGTCCGGAAACATCATTGCGCGCTCCCTCTCTAAAATAGACAAATTGAAATATGATTATAAGACATACTTTTCCGTCGCAAAAAAATTACATTTCGAGTAAAAAGTTCTAAGAACAAATCTCTTCGCAAAAATTCTCGGATCGGCAAACTATGGTAGGAAATGGGTTAAATACGTAAGTCAAACAAAGCAGTCCGTGAGAAGAACGACGATTCGTTAAACGTAATTAAAAACTTTGTAAATTGCTACGCCGTTTTCTACAATAAAACCATAATATAAAACTACCTTTATCGGAGAGTTTGGGGGTTTCTGAGGTTCGGAACATTTACGGAAAATATTTCGTGTTTCACATGAAGCTGGCTATTCAAGAAGCTCGTATGATTTTAGATGAGTCTATCATATCGAGAGAAAAGAAGAGCTAAACACTCTGTGAAACTCCTACTACAAAGGGAGTTGATTGGTGTTTGCATTTTTTGATGTAGTCATCAGTGCAATGAACACAATTTAAATTCCCTAATAGTGAGCCTTTACTATCTGAAAAGTATGAACAGGGATGGTCTTAAAGTGCATTTTTTTCTTTCTTTCTTTCTTTATATAAAGAGGTACTTGACTATTCAGTGTTTATAAAAGAAATGTATAACTGAAGAGCTCCCCTGGGGCTCTTTTCTTCGAACGATTATCGTAAACAGAGGGAATTCATGCAAATTTAAGACGAGAATAAACCATTCTTGTTTTACATCTATGAGCAGATTTGTATTCGTTTTCGAAAGTTTTATAAACGTACAAATGTAGAGCGAAATTTTCTTTTTTTTTACTTTTGCAAGCCAATGTAAGTTGTGAGATTTGCTTAACTATGGTGAAAATAATCATTGCTTAATTTCCGTTATTTGCGTTCTGAAAACAACGCAGTTATCTTTTCATCGTTTTAATTCATCAATTTTTTTTCTCATGTCGAATAAAGTCCACCCACATCATTTTTCTGCTGTTGAAAAAATATTGATCACAGCAACGGAGTTTTAAAAACACCGAAAATATATATTTGAATAAATTTCAGTCAAAGGAATCCTGGCTGTGAGATTGATTATGAAAGAGCAAAAAATTTGAAAATTACACGAAGCTTCTGTGCAAAGGTTTTGTCAAGGATCATCTCAATTACGCTATTTGTTCTTTGCCAAGTTTTAAAGCCTCCAATTCGAAAAGCAATATTTAAAAGGATTTTGCGTCAAAGGTTTTATTTTTTCAATCTCACACCATGGTTAAATTATATGGAGACGGGCTACCCTATTTTTATAGGCAAATATTTAAAACCAGTACAAATTGGTCTATTCCAAATGCCAGCATTGTCCTTCTATAAAAATAACTTCGCTTAAGTTGGCTAAGAGCGGCCAATTTTTTTTCCATGCAAATTATCGAATTCCCGTCTGCAACACAACAACGAAATGTTTTTGATAGAATTGATTATTCTTCCATGTAAATATGAGCTGATGAGCGTTAAGATTGAAGTTGTTTTGAATGAAGCAATTCTTCATCTTAGCAATTCTTACTTTTTTTGCAACAACTGAAAATTTCCGATATGGTTCATCATAATAATACGCCTTTGTTAAATACTGTTAATATCTACAAAAGAAGTTTACAAGACTGAGGTTCCTTCCTTTAAAAATCATCTTTGTTGAATTCAGGTTTTTAATTTTGTCATAACGACACGTTAATAAGCTCAGTGCATCAGCTGTTGTAAATCAGCGAAATAGAAATAAAGAGTGACGGAAAATAAGATAGCACGGGCTGGAGTATGAATATAGGGATGGAAAATGATGCGCATTTTGTAACTCACCTTTACCAAACGTCAAGTAAGTCGTCGATGAAGTCCAGACTGCGAATACCAGAAACGCTGAAAATTCCATGCTTCCTCAAAACAACGGAGCTCAGTATTGATGCTTTCAGTGTGCCACAAATTTCGCTTCGACCACCTGTATCTGATAATGAATTTAAGTGATAGAAACCGACCTATTAGTATTAAAAATTGGATGTTAACAAAATTAAGAGCTGTCAGTCCTGACCCTGCAAATAATATACGTGGGTACGCGTTTTAAAGTTTGCGAATGAGCACGTTTCCAATGTCTTCCTTTGTGCCAATTAGAAACACTTTGGTTTTGATGGGCTATGATTCTATCTTCATCAACAGATTAGAAAAAGGGATTTTACCACACAAATTTCCATACATTAACTTCAATTGCTTCATAATTATAGTCAATGGAGTGCGTTTAAGACAATAACATCATAAAAATATTCTTAAGAACATTAGGTGAATAATGTCATAGAGTCACATAAAAAGCCAAGTTCCCTTGAGTTTCTAAGAACTCCCAATTTTCAATATCAATCCATAAATTCAACGTTTCTTCGTTTGTGTGTTTGTTTTGTTTTGTTTTGTTTTTTTTGTTTCATTCTCAGGGGAAACTCCTTACAAGTTTAATTGAAGCGTCAATAATTGACGAAAAGAAAATTCTCACAAAAATATGGTAATAAAAGTAGATCTTAGGTACCGAAAGTCCCTCTCACGAAATCCTGCGGATAATGGTAATCGGTATGTGGGAGCAGACAGGCTGGCGTAACCTTATCCGCCTAAAAAAAAAACACTCAGTTAGCTTTCATTTTCCAAAAACACGAATTCTTTATTAAGACTGTATCTTGAAATATGTCTGAAATTATAAAATATGCCACGTTCTTGAATATATTGTGAGTCTCTTGTTCTAATTCGACGAAATGAATAAGAGAAACTCCTTTCTGAATTTAGAATATCGTGTTTGAAGTTGTTAAGCTGTACCTCCCACTTCACTACAGCGAGCAAAATATTTTCTTGTTTGGCCCTCCTAATTACTCGAAATAATACAGGAACGCAATAATTTGAAGTCCTAAGTTATTAGCCATTTCATCTTCCCCGACATTCATTAACGTCAAAATTGATTGATGACGAGTTATAATAAGCTCTTTAGTTTGAACAAATCAAACAATAAATCTCCTGTAGATGGTGGATATTTAACAACAAAAAATTCCATAAATTTTGTGAGCAACTTACGACCTATGTCTCATTACAAAAGGATTGAATAAAGATTGTCGAAGAAGAACCCCTGAAAGTTGTTTTAAACGCCATTTTCATCTCAAAGATAATAGCAAACCGATGTTTGCAAAAGGTGTACCGTAATTTATGATTGGATTCATCCAAACCATTCAGTATCGGATCTGGCTTCCAAGGCCTTCATTGGAAGAACCTTTAAATTATAAGACATTTTCAGGTTTTCCTCCGTTAGATAAAATTGTTGCAGACCTAAGGTTAAAGAGACATGTGGGCCAACATTTGGTTCCCGACTTATCTTTCTGATGGGAAGCCATGTAAATCAACTTCCATATTTTTTCGAGGTTCTTCTTGTTCATAATAATCACTTTTGTCATAATATGAACGGAATTCAAACGAGCTGCACATTGGTCTAGGTTGAGGGATAGGAAAAAACAATCTGTGAAAGGAAATCTTTCTAAGTACAGAAAAAAACAACTGTAATTTTTGGCAAGTTAGATATTTCAAATGAAGAAGATTTTTGTCATCAACTCTATTTTTCTTTACCGTAAATTGAACCCAAACAGGGGGCTTCGTCACTGCAGTAATACCTCTCTCATCACTTATGGAATTTCCTGTCGTTTCGGGTTTCACAATTTGTGACGAGCTTGGAACCGCCAGCATTGACTTTTTTATAATTTGGCACTTCTCTCTATTTACGGTAATGATGGAACTGCAATTTCTACATGGGGTGTCATTATAAACATAAACAAATATCGCTAAGAAAAGGTTTAAGAAGTAAACACTTGTAGGAAACTAAAATTAAGGACAATGATCTTGTTTATTTCAAATAGCTGAAGCTGTTTTTTCGCCAAAGTTTGTTATATCTACATTTGAAAGCTCATTTTCGTTTTATTTCAGCCGCACAAGAATAAAGAGGTTAAGAGTGGATATTCAATTTACATCATGGAACGAAAGTCAAACTCAAGTTATCCATGCATTAAATATATCACTTTATACCCTCAAAGATTCAACGTTCTTTGGCGCCCAACTTAAGTGTTATTGAGCCAAACGTGCTTTCTTTTATTACTTTCTGGTAGGTATGGTTACGATAGAAACTGTTGGTTTCAAGCGAAGATGATTATTCATATCAGAAATGAACTGCTTTCTTCCTGTTTTGGCTCTTTGCACCAAAAGCTAGACTCGTAAAATAATACTAGGTGAAAAATTTAACCTAATTCGCTTTCATTTTCCAAAAAGATGAATTCTTAATTTAGACTTTATCTTGAAATAAATCTGAAATTATAAAATAAGTCGCGTTCTTTAATGGATTGTGATTCTCTTGTTCTAATTCGACGAAATTAATAAGAGAAACTTTTTTGAATTTCGAATATCGTGTTTGTAGTTGTTAAGCTGTACCACCCGCTTCACTACATCGAACAAAATATATTCCCGTTTGCCCTGCTAATTATTCGAAATAATACAGGAACGCACAAAACTAAAATAATTTTAAGTCCAAATTGATAAGTCATTTTATCTTCCCTCACATTCATTAACGTCAAAGTCAATAAATGACGAGTTCTAATAAGCTCTTTAGATTGAAAAAACAGAAAATCTCTCGTAAACGCCTGATCTTAAAATACAGAAATTCATTAAATTTGCTGAGAAAATTACGACCTATGCCTCGATGCATCAGGATTGTGTGAAGACTCTCAATGGCTCATTATAATAACACACCCTTTCTAAATACCATTAATGTCAACAAACAAGTTTACAAGACTAAGGTTCCTTCCCTTAAAAAATCATGTTTGTTGAGTTCAGGATTTTAGTTTTGTCACAATGACCAGTTATAAGCTCAGAGCATCAACTATAGTGAATCAGCAAGTAAAAATAAAGAGTGATGGGAAATAACACGAGCTGAAATGAATTATTTTTAAACAGAAATAATACCACCTGCATTCGATAATAGCTTAAGTAATAGATACCGACCCTTTTGTATTGAATATGGGATGTTAACTAAATTAATAGCAGTCAGTCCAGACCCATTGAAATTATTGAAGCAAATAAAATACGTGGGCACGCGTTTGGGATATATGGAAATACTTTGGATTTGGTGAGCTACGATTCTATCGGTGTTTACCTTCAGATTAGACTCGGGGATTTCGCCACACAAATTTCCATGACTATAGTCAATGGAGTGCGTTTAAGGAAATAACATTATAAACATATTCTTGAGAACATTAGATAAATAAACTCCGTTACTGCAGTCACATAAAAAGTCAAGTTCTTTCGAGTTTCTGAGAAACAACACCTTCAAATTTACAAGATCGATCCATGGATTCAGCGTTTCTGGTTTTTTTTTCTTTCTTTCTTTTTTTTTTTTTAATTATCAGGGGAAACACCTCATAAAATTGATCGAAGCGCCTCCAAGGCCTTCATTGAATACCTTCTAAATTATAAAACATTTTCAGGTTTTCCTTCGTTAGAGAAAACTGCTGCAGACTTAACAGGACCTGTGAGCCAACAATTAGTTCCCGACTCATTTTTCTGATTAGGAGACATGAAAACCAACTTCCATAATTTTCAAGGTTCTTCTCTTTCAAAGTCATCAATTTTTGGAGGATAAGACAAAACCATTTTTGAAAGGAGATCTTCATAAGTACAGAGAGAAAAAACATCCATAGTTTTTGACAAGTTGGATATTTCAAATGAAGAAGATTCTTGTCGTCAACTCTATATTTTTTTTACTGTAATTTGAACTCAAACAGCGGGCTTCGTCACAGCATTAAATCCTCCCTCATCGCTCTTTGGAATTTCCTGTCGTTTCCAGTTTCACAATTTGTGACGAGCTTGGAACCGCCAGCACTGACTTTTTATAATTTTGCACTTTTCTATATTTACGATGGAACCACAATTTCGAGAAGGGGTGTAATTATAAAATTAAAGAAATATCACAGAGAAAAGTTTCAAAAAGGAATCCCGTTGTAGGAAACTAAAAATTAAGGATAACGATCTTGTTTATTTCAAATAGCTGAAGATGTTTTCTCGCCAAATGTTTTTTATACCCACATTTGGAAGCTCGATAAATTTCATTTTCGCTTGATTTCAAGTACACAGAAATAGAGGAGTCAAGAGTGGATATTAAATTTATATCATGGAATGAAAGCCAAACTCAAGTTATCCATGCATTAAGTATGATCATTTCTTACCTTCAAAGATCCAACGGTCTTTGGTGCCCAACTTTAGTGTTATTGAGCCAAATGCGTATTCTTTTATTCCTGTCGGGTATCTATGGTTACGATAGAAACTGTCGGTTTCAAGCCAAGAGGATCATTAATATTAGATATGAACTTCCCTCTTCCTGTTTAGGCTCTTTGCACAAACGCTAAATTGGCAAAATAATACCAGGTGAAAAATTTAACCTAATGCAACGGATTGATTTGGATTAATGCTTCTTGGACTATGAATTGTTATTATTAATTACTTGAAAGTGTCCCATGTGGGCAGGTGCCAAAGGTGTTATGATTCTATAATTACTGACCCCCGTAAAATCTTATTGTGCTCCCTTTGCATTATATTAGCGATTTCAGTCCAAGAAGGTTATTAGGTCTCCAGTACGGCCCAAGTTTCTAAGGAAAATGAGGGCGAGTTTTTTAGATATTAACCACCTGAATGATTAAATGCACGAAATGACATATATATGACAAAGTCAAGTTGCAGTTTCAATTAACATGTCCTTGACTATTATGTGTTTATTAAAAGAATATAAAGCTGGAGAACTTCCCTATAGCATTTTTTTTCGAACGGTTATCGTAAACAGAGGAAATTCATGTGAATTGAAGCCGAAAAAAAAAATTCTTGTCTTGCGTCAATGAGCAGATTTATACCAGTTTTCGAAAGTTTTCTAAACGTACACATCTAGAATGAAATTTTTAAATTTTTACTTTTGTTAGTCAACGTAGGTTGTCAGAATCGCTTAGTTATGGTGAATATAATCAACTGACATAATAGCACAACTTTGCTAAATACCATTAATGTCTACAAACCAAGTTTACAAGACTACGGTTCCTTCCTTTAAAAATCATGTTTAATGAGTTCAGGATTTAAGTTTTGTGATAGCGACCCGTTATAAGCTTAGTGCATCAACTGTTGTGAATCAGCAAGATAAAAATAAAGAGTGATGGGAAATAACACGGGCTGAAATAAATTAGTTTTAAACAGAAATAACACCACCTGCATTAAATAATGGATTAAGTGATAGAAACCGACCTTTTTGCATTGAAAATGGGATCTTAACAAAGTAAATAACAGTCAGTTCAGCGCCATTGAAACGATTGAAGCAAATAAAATACGTGGGCACGCGTTTTAATTTCTGCTCATAAACGCTTTTGTGATGTTTTCCGTTTTGCTTTAAAGGAAGACTCTGGATTTGGCGAGCTACGATTCTTTTGGTGTTAACCTACAGATTATACTCAAGGATTTTGCCACACAAAGTGCCATAGCATTCAATTGCTTCATAATTACATTCAATGGAGTGCGTTAAGACAATAACACCATAAACATATACTTGAGAATATCGGGTGAACATACTCCTATAATGCAGTCACATCAAAAGTCAAGTTCCCTCGAGAACTGCACTTTCCAATTTAAAAGATCGATCCATAGATTCAGCGTTTTTTAAATTTTATTTTATGTTATTTTTTGTTTCATTATCAGGGGGGGAAAAACTTTATACAATCGACCGAAACATAAATAATTGACAAAAAGCAATGCTCACAAAACATGGTAAAAAAAAAAAAAAAAAAAAAAAAAAAAAAAAAAGATCCGGCTTATGTAACGATATTCCCGCTCACGCAATCATACGGATAATGGTAATCGGTGTGTAGGACCAGACAGGTTGGCGTAACCTTATCCGCTGAAAAAAGACATTATCCTTGCACTCACGCAGTTCACTTTCATTTTCCAAAAGCATGAATTCTTAATTTGGACTATATCTTGAGATAACTCAGAAATTATAAAATAAGCCACACTCTATGATGGATTGTGAGTGTCTTGTTCTAAGTAGACGAAATTAGTAAAGGAAACTCCCTTTTGAATTTCGATTATGGTGTATATAGTTGTTAAGCTGTGCCACCCGCTTAACTACATCGAGCAAAATATTTTCTTGTTTGACCTTCCTACTTACTCCACAAACAATTCAGGAACGCAACAAGTTAAAGATGGTTTTCTTGTTTGAAGTCCTCAGTAATTAGTCATTTTATCTTCCCTCACATTCATTAACGTCAAAATTAATTAATGATGAGTTCTAATAAGCTCTTTAGTTTGAATAAACAATTAATCTCCTGTAAACTGTAGATGTTAAACTACAGAAATCTCATCATTTTTTTTTTGAGAAACTTACGACCTATGTCTCGATACATTAGGATTGCTTAAGGAAAACGAGACCTGCAAGTCAACATTTAGTTCCCGACTCATTCTCCTATTGGGAGCCTTGCAAATTAACTTCCATATTTTTCAAGGTTCTTCTATTTCAAATCATCACTTCTGTCATAATATGAACGGGATTCAAACGAGCTGCATATCAGTATAAGTTGGGCACAGGACAAAACAATTTGTGAAAGGAAATCTTTATAAGTACAGAAAAAAAAATTTTTTTTTTGGGAAGTTGTATGTTTCAAATGAAGTAGATTTTTGCCATCAACTCTATTTTCCTTAACCGCAAATTGAACCCAAACAGCGGGCTTTGTCACTGTTTTAAATCCTCTGTCATCGCTTTATGAAAGTTCCCGTCGTTTCGAGTTTCACAATTTGTGACGAGCTTGGAACTGCCAGCACTGACTTTTTATAATTTGGCACTTTTCTCTATTTATGTTAATGATGGAACTACAATTTCGAGAAGTAGTGTCATTAGGAACATAAAACAAATATCGCTGAGAAAGGTTCAAGAAGTAAACACGTTGGTAGAAAACTAAAATTTAAGGATAATGATCGTGTTTATTTCAAATAGCTGAAGCTGTTTTTTCGCCAAAAGTTTGTTATATCCACATTTGGAAGCTCGGTAAATTTCATTTTCGTTTTATTTCAAGTACACAGTAATGGAGGAGTGAGGGGTAGATATCCAATTTATATCATGGAATGAAAGTCAAACTCAAGTTATCCATGCATTAAATATGATCATTTCTTACCTTCAAAGATCCAACGTTCTCTGGTGCCCAACTTTAGTGTTATTGAGCCAAACGTGTTTTCTTTTATTCCTGTCTGGTAGCAATGGTTACGATAGAAACTGTTAGTTTCAAGTCAAGATGATTATTAATATTAGAAATGAACTTCCCCTCTTCCTGTTTAGGCTCTTTGCACAAAAAACTAAATCGGTAAAATAATACCAGGTGAAAAATTTAACCTAACGCAACGGATTGACTGGAGCCATGCGTCTTGGACTATAAATTGTTATTATTAATTCCTTGAAAGTGTCGTCTGTTATCAGGTGCCAAAGGCTTTATAATTATATAATGACTGACTCCCGTAAAATCCTATTGTGCTCCTTCTGCATTACATTAGCGAGTTCAGTCGAAGAAGGTAATTAAGTTTCCTATACGGTCCAAGTTTCTAAGAAAAATGAGGGCGATATACTAGGGTATCCTTCAAAGAAGATCATCCTTGGTCAAAGTGTATGAGATATTAAACACCTGAATGATCGAATGCACGGAATTACATATATATGACAAAGCCAAGCACCAGTTTCAATAAACAGTTGCTTGACTATTGAGGGTTTATTAAAGAAAAGTATCAGTGAAGAGGTTCCCCGTGGCTTTTTTCTTCGAACGGTTATCGTGAACAGAGGAAATTCATGCGAATTGAAGCCGAAAAAAAACGTTCTTGTCTTGCGTCAATGAGCAGATTTATTTCAGTTTTCGAAGTTTCGAAACGTACAAACCCAAAATAACATTTTAAAATTTTTACTTTTGCTAGCCAACGTAGGTTGTTAGAATTCCTTAGCTATGGTGAATATAATCATCTCTATTTTTCCGTTACTTGTTTTCTTAAAACAACTCATTTATCTGTCATCGTTTTTAGTCATTCATTTTTTGTTTCTTATTTCGAAAAAAACGTCCGCCTACATCATTTTTCAGAAGTTGAAAATATTGATTACAGCTACATCGTTTTAAAACACTGAATGATATAAACGTGAATAATTTCAGTCTAGGGGATCCTTGCTGTGAGATTAATTTTGGAAAAACAAAAAGTTTCAAAATTACACGAAGCTTCTGTGCGAAAGTTTTTTTAAGGATCATCTCAATCAAGCTATTTGTTATTTGGCAAGTTTAAAAGCCTACACTTCAAAAGTTAGCTCTTGGAAGACTTTTTTCAATTCCACAAAATGGCTAAAAGCTTATGAGACCGGCTACCCTTTTTTTATAAACAATGTCTTAAAACCAGAGAGAGCGGTTTGTTCCAAATGCCAGCATCTTTCGTCTATAAAAATGACTTCGCTTAAGTTGGCTACGAGCGGCCAATTTTTCTTCCATGCAAATTAGCGAATTCACGTCTGCGAAACAACAACGAAATATTTTTGATAGAATTGATTACCCGTCCATGTAAAAATAAGCTGAGCCTTAGGATTGAAGTGGTTTTGAATGAAGCAATTCTTCACCGTAGCAGTTCTTTTTTTTTGTAACAAAATACTTCTGCAAATTTCCGATTTGGCGTATTATAATAACACACCCTTGCTAAATACCATTGGTGTCTACAAAACAAGTTTACAAGACTAAGTCTCCTTCCCTTAAAAAATCATGTTTGTTGAGTTCAGGATTTTAGTTTTGTCACAATGACCAGTTATAAGCTCAGAGCATCAACTGTAGTGAATCAGCAAATAAAAATAAAGAGTGATGGGAAATAACACGAGCTGAAATGAATTATTTTTAAACAGAATAACGCCACCTGCATTCGATAATGGGTTAAGTAATAGATACCGACCCTTTTCTAATGAATATGGGATGTTAAAAAACTTAATAGCAGTCAGTCCAGACCCGTTGAAATGATTGAAGCAAATAAAATACGAGGGCACGCGTTTGGGATATATGGAAAGACTTTGGATTTGGCGAGCTACGATTCTATCGGTGTTTACCTTCAGATTAGACTCAGGGATTTTGCTACACAAATTTCCATAACATTAACTTCAATTGCTCCATGACTATAGTCAGTGGAGTGCGTTTAAGGAAATAACATTATAAACATATTCTTGAGAACATTAGGTAAACATACTCCGTTACTGCAGTCACATAAAAAGTCAAGTTCTTTCGAGTTTCTGAGAAACAACACCTTCAAATTTACAAGATCGATCCACGGATTCAGCGTTTTTGTTTTTGTTTTTTTATATTTTTATTTTTTGTTTTCCTTTTTATTATGAGGGGAAAACACCTCATAAAATTGATCGAAGCGTCAAAAATTGACAAAAAGCAATAATCACAAAACATGGCAATAAAAATATAAAAATCTTATGTACCGACATTCCCGCTCACGAAATCATACGGATAATGGTAATCGGTGTGTAGGACCAGACAGGCTGGCGTAACCTTATACACCAAAAAATTTGATTAGCCTTGCATTTGCACAGTTTACTTTTATTTTCCAAAAACATGAAGTCTCAATTTAGATTATATCTTGAAATAGATCAGAAATTATAAAACAAGCCACGTTCTTTAATGGATTGTGATACCACCCACCTGCATCGAGCAAAATATTTTCGTGTTTGAACCTTCTACTTACTCTAAGCAATACAGGAACGTAACAAGTTAAAGATGGTTTTCCAATTTGAAGTCCTCAGTGATTAGTCATTTTATCTTCCATCACATTTATTGACGTCAAGATTCTAATAAGCTCTTTAGTATGAAGAAACAGAAAATCTCCCCTAAAACTACTGAAATTCCATAGATTTGCCCAGAAACTTGCAACCAATGTCTCGATAAATCAAGATTGCATAAAGAGTGCCAAGGCAGAACCCCTCAAATATTTTATAATGATTGAGCACGATACAGTTGTTATACTTAATCCAGAGCCTTGTTGAGACGATGCTCTGAGTGTTGTTTTAAGCGCAACCTCCACCTCAAGGATAATGGCAAATTGATATTTGGAAAATGTGTGCTGTAATTTATGATTTGACTCAGGCAAACCATTCAGTATCGGATCTGGCCTCCAAGGCCCTCATTGGAATACCATCTAAATTATAAAAAATTTTCAGGTTTTCCTTCGTTAGATAAAACTGCTGCAGACTTAACGGGACCTGGGAGCCAACAATTAGCTCCCGACTCATTTTTCTCATTAGGAGCCATGCTAACCAACTACCATATTTTTCAAGGTTCTTCTATTTCAAAATCATCAACGTTTGGGGGGATAAGACAAAACCATTTTTGAAAGGAAATCTTTATAAGTACAGAGAGAAAAAATGGCTATAATTTTTTACAAGTTGGATATTTGAAATGAAGAAGATTTTTGTCATCAACTCTATATTTTTTTACTGTAATTTGAACCCAAACAGCGGGCCTCGTCACATCATTAAATCCTCTCTCATCGCTCATTAGAATTTCCTGTAGTTTCCAGTTTCACAATTTGTGACGAGCTTGGAACGGCCAGCACAGACTTTTTCATAATTTGGCACTTTTCTCTATTTACGGTAATGATGGAGCTACAATTTCGAGAAGGAGTGTAATTATAAACTTAAAGTAATATCACCGAAAAAAGGTTCAAGAAGGAATCCCGTTGTAGGAAACTAAACTTTTCCGCTTGATTTCAACTACACACTAGGGTGGATATCCAATTTATATCATGGAATGAAAGTCAAACTCAAGTTATCCATGCATTAAATATGATCATTTCTTACCTTAAAAGATCCAACTCTCTTTGGTGCCCAACTTTAGTGTTATTGAGCCAAACGTGTTTTCTTTTATTACTGTTTGGTAGCTATGGTTACGATAGAAGCTGTTGGTTTCAAGCCAAGATGATCATTAATATTAGAAATGAACTTCCCTCTTCCTGTTTGGGTTCTGCACCAAAATGATCTTTGCCAATGAATGATCGAATGCACGAAATGGCATATACATGACAAAATCAAGGACCAGTTTCAATAAACAGTTGCTAAACTATTGAGTATTTATTAAAGGAATGTATCACTGAAGAGGTTCCTTGTGTCTCTCTTCTTCGGACGGTCATCATGAGCAGGGGAAATTCATGCGAATTGAATCCGAAAAAAGATAAACATACTGTCTTGCGTTAATGAGCAGATTTATATTAGTTTAGAAAACTTTTCTAAACGTATAAATCTAGAATGAAAGTTTTAAATTCTTACTTGTGTTAACCAATGTAGGTTGTTAGAGTTGCTTAGCTATGGTGAATATAATCAAGTCTTTATTTCCGACATTTGTTTTCTAAAAAGAACTCGTTTATTTTTCCATCGTTTTTAGTTATTCATTTACTTTTTCTCATTTCGGAAAACGTCCACCTACATAATTTTTCTACTGTTGAATAATGGTGATCACAGCAACAGCGTTTTAAAACACTGAATAATATATACTTGAATAAATTTCATTCTAGGGTATCTTTGCTGCGAGATTAATTTTGGAAGAACAAAAGACTTTAAAATTGCACGAATCTTCTGTGCAAAAGTTTTTTAAGGATCATCTGAATTAAGCTATTTCTCATTTGGCAAGTTTTAAAGCCTCCACTTCAAAAATTAGCACTTGGAAGTTTTTTTTTCTATTCCACAAAATGGCTAAAAGCTTATGAGACCGGCTACCCTATTTTTATAAACAATTACTTGAAACCAGAAAGAGTGGTTTGCTCCAAATGCCAGCACTGTTCGTCTATAAAAATGACTTCGCTTAAGTTAGTTAAGAGCGGCCAATTTTTCTTCCATGCAAATTATCGAATTCCCGCCTGCGAAACAAAAACGAAATATTTTTGATAGAATTGATTACCCGTCCATGTAAATATGAGCTGAGCATTAGGATTGAAGTCGTTTTATTATCTTGTAACAACACACTTTTAAAATTTCCAACATGGCCCATCATAGTAAAACACCTTTCAATACCATTCAAGTTTGACGTTCCTTCCCTTTAAAGATCTTTTTTGTTGAGTTCAGGTTTTTAGTTTTGTCATAGCGACACGTTGTAAGCTCAGTGAATCAACTGTTGTGAATCAGCGAAATAGAAATAAAGAATGATGGGAAATAAGATTACACGGGCTAAAGTATGAACATAGGGAGAGCAAATGATTTGCATTTTGCAACTCGATTACCTTTACCAAACGTCAAGTAAGTCATCGATGAAGTCCAGACTGCGAATATAAGAAACGCTGAAAATTCCATGCTTCCTCAAGACAACGAAGCTCTATATTGATTCTCTCAGTATGCCATACATTTCGAGTGGACCACCTGCATTCAATCATGGATTAAGTAATAGAAACCGAAATTTTTATATTGAAAATGGGATGTTTTTCGATAATTTGAACGGAATTCAAACGAGCCGCATATCAATCTAAGTTGAGGATAAGGATGAGACAAAACAATTTGTGAACGTAAATCTTTATAATTACAAAACAACCATAGTTTTCGGCAAGTTGGATATTTCAAATGCAGAAGATTCTTTTCGCCACCGTTATTTTTCTTTATTATAAATTGAACCCAAACCGCAGGCTTCGTCATTGTATTAAATCACCTATCGTTGTTTTATGGAATATCCTGTCGTTTCCATTTTTTTACAAGTTTTGAGGAGCTTGGAACCGCCAGCACTGACATTTTATAATGTAGTACTTTTCTCTATTTACGGTGGTGATGGAGATACAAGGGGTGTCATTATAAACATAAAGAAATATCGCTGAGAAAAGCTTCAAGAAGTAAACCCGTTGTAGGAAACTAGAAATCAAGGATAATGATCTTGTTCATTTCAAGTGGCTGACGCTGTTTTCTCGCCAAATGTTGGTGATATCCACATTTGAAATCTCGGTATATTTCATTTTCGTTTTATTTCAACTACACAGAAATAGAGGAGTTAAGGGAGGATATCAAATCTTCTCATGAGATGAAATTCAATTTAACTTCGAAGATTTAACGTTCTTTTGTGTCCAACTCTAGTGTTATTGAGCCAAACATATTTTCTTTTATTACTCTCTGGTAGCTATGGTTACGATAGAAACTGTTGGTTTCAAACCGAGATGATCACTAATTTTAGAAATGAACTTCCCTCTTCCTGTTTGGGCTGTTTGCATAAAAAGCTTAATTGGTTAAACAATATCGGGCGAAAAATTTAACCTAATAAACGGATTGACAAGAGTAACGAGGTGAATAGAGTAGATTGACTAGGGTAATTGGTGAATTTTATATTTTCGGTTACAGTATATATTGAGACTGATAAGACAGAAGTTTTGTCAGACGTTTTAAGTCATCCATAATTGTCTAAAACGGGTTTATTTTCCTTTTATGAGTCTTTATATTTTTTTTCTACCATCAGTTTGTACTATAATACCAGTTGTAATACTTAAACAGCTTCACATGCTCTAGACTTGTTTACCAACATTATTTGCGTGCTTGAAGCGTCTAAGGCGTCAAACAGGTGCTATCAGACTACATTGCGTGATGTATCCGAGGCTGCACACTGCGATATGATCATCTGCTCAAAATTTCCTAGATTGACCGACCGGAAACTTTAAAGAAGTTTACAAAATAATGATGATTTTCTCTCTTGTAAAAAATTACAAAAAAAATTTAAACCTCTACCATGAGCATGTTATGCAATAATGACAGAGTATGTTGGGTTATTTTTCATTTTATCAAATTGCTCCATTCAAAGCACCTTTCTTCTTTTCTGCAAAATTTTAGTATGCGTTGTTTTCGCTGTGGCAAAAAAAAACACCGTACAGAAGCCCGTTACCCGGAGCCTCAATAACAATTTTACCCTTGAGTCAACTCCGTCTCGTATCTTTTTACTCAGTTTTGATTTTTTTTTTTTTAATATCATGTTCAGCTCTAGCAAATTGCAGTATTCCGGGCTTTATTTTCCTTTTATCTACGAGGGAACAAAAATGTGTCTCAACTTTAAATTCTGTGAAAAACGTGGCTATACAGATCTTAGGGCGGGGGCCAAACTGACCACATAAACCTTACCGCTGTGAACCATAGTATTCTCCAAGTGCGAGAGAGAGTACCCAAATTAGCATATTTACCACAGCGCAACAGCGAGCGTGGGCTCGTTTCGGAGTATTTAATAAAAGGAATTGTTACTTTTGATTTCGTTTTAGGCCATAAAAGCTTAGAAATTTCTCTCAAGTTTTCGCAGCCGAGATTCTTGACTACAAAGCAAGAATGACTGTGAATATATAAAAATCTTATAAGTGAACTGCGGATTAAGAAATAAATATGAAAGCAATCTTCGAAGCATTGAACACTTCTTAAGTAGTAGCGAAAATAAGGTCGGAAAAAATTCAGGCCTTGCGGGGTTTGAACCTATGAGCTGTGCAATACCTTGCTTATATGATTTTCATATATCCACTGTCATTTATTCGTAACTTCACGGTTTGTAAAAGTGTAGTCCGGGTGAGTGTAGTCCTAAAAAAAGACTGTTGTCGGTAGTGGTGACTGACGTTTCGACTACCTGAGCGGAAGTCGTCATCAGAGTCAAGTGAATAGTTCTAAGTCTGGTTTGTATAAAACTGATTGGTCAGTTTTGCCGTGATGTTATTGGCTGTAAGACTTTAGTGGCGTAAGTCGAACGTAATTGGTCGGTCTCGATCCTCTAGTAAAGTTAGTTCGTTCCGTTCTGTTCGTTTGTAATGTTAATGTCGTGAATGAGTCGTTTATATGGTGCCGTTAGTGGTTGACACATGTTGACTATCTACCGACCCTCTACCGCTACCGATAGAGGACATTGTGGACTTACTAAACCTTTGCCTTACGTCAAGTTACTTTAGGTACAACGGTAAACACTACAAATAGCTACACTGCACAGCTACAGGATCTCCAGTTTTTGTTGTTGTAGTAGAAGTTGAGATGCAGAACATCTAGGAAAGCGCCCTCGTGATGTTCTTAGCGACCACGAAATCCCAGTTGTTCCGTCAAATTTTTGAAGTTGACATTGGTCAAGACCTTACCATTAAAATCACCCAAGTGACCTTTTTCCGACAGGACTGACTCTTCTTCAGGTGTGATTGGCTGAGCTTTGTTCTGGAAATAAGATGTGATTTAAAGCAAAAAAATTGGTGCGATTCATGAATAAATCGCATCAATTAGAGCGAATCAGATTACATAGACCACCAGTGATTTCAAAATGGGTGTAATAAAAACATGATATCATAACAGAATAACTGAGATCCTACAAGCATCCCAATAGATCAGTTCCTATCATTTTATGCACCAGTAAACCCATACAAAATTTAAACATACTGGGTTTTATGTTAAGTTTACTTTATAGAAGCAATAGACAGTACTCTCTTAGGGATAACCTACGTTCTAACCGAAAAGTCTTTAAATCACTCGTGATTTACACGTGTTCTCCCAACATCATGCTTGGGTTTTTACGCTGGTAAACTGATAGAAGGTGTGGTCTACTGCTTATACAAACAGCTAAGTGCAGGAAACAATTTTCGTTTCATAATTAGTTTACCTCACAATTCCGTAAAGTGGATCAAACGTTGACAAATACATATTGGTATGACAGCTTTCCGGAATTTTTTCAAAGTATACGTTTTTGCTACAAGAAAAAAATGACACGACTTATCTGATTGAAAATTTTCCTAATTCCTATAATTCGAACAAGAATTAATGCGAAGAAATCAAATTATCCTGCAAAAATTTATTTTGTTGTCATGATTTTTCAAAAACGAAGAAGGTATCCATATGTTTTATTTATCCCCCAAGAGTATTTCAGTTTTAAAAATATAAAATTAATCCGAAGAAATGAAATCATCCTTCCCAAACTGATTTTACTGTTATGATATTTCATAAACCAAGAAGTTATCCAATTTTTTTAGTTATCCCCGAGAGTTTTTTAACTTTAATAATCTGTCCATTTTGGCACGAACACACATGCAGCGTGTCGTACCAGGAGGATCTAGCACTCTTCGATTCGTTTAAGATACCGCACCAAGTTTTTGTCGTGGTCAGTGATACGGTTTGGGCTCTCGAACTTGCAAGTTTATCCAAAAATAAATTCCTTTTTACGGCCCTCACGGGTCAGCACAATAAATTAACTTACGCCCCAGCAGGAAAGGTAGGTAATTATCCATTGTGCTGCGACGACAAGCTGAGATCATTGTTTGCGACATGAACGTCAGGCGGCTTTGTAACAGTTGTTACACGCAATGGGTAAAAAACAATCCAGTGGTTGGTTTAAGAATGGTTCTACTGTTTTCAAGATTTTTCATGGAAGACCCCAAATATTTATGTTTCAATGGAGCAAAAAATCTGTCTCATAGTAAACATCTCTTGGGGAGTTAAATGCGACGGAAACTCAACAAACATAATTGAAATGTTTGTTCTAAGCGTTTTCTTCGGTTAGCTTTGAGACCAATTGTTTTTAGCGCATAAAGCTGTTTTTACATTTCTTCGTTCTGGAAAGATGGATTGAAATGTAGGGTGCTATAAAATTGAGTCGAAGGTTTTGTTAACAATAAGTAATGCGTCTCTCAGTTCTGGAAACAAGAAGTTTACGAATGATCCGGTAAGTGAATTTTTTCACAGTTTACAGTACATCTGAAAATTGATTTACTTAATACATCAATAAGAGAACTTTAAAATATTTTTTTTTTAAAGGAGCAGTCTCTAGTACACAAGGGGCGTGCTCATTACACATAAACAACTTGGTATCTTGCGGTTTCCCAGGCAGTGTCCACATCTAATTATCAGTCTGCGATCACGCTTTCCACTCTTGATGTCTAACCACAATTTTTGTGGCTACTGCCTCCTATAGGAAGCAAGGCCACATATGTTATTTTTCTTTGAGACCAGATTATCATCAGAGGCTTCCCAGGCCGTGACCACATCTAATTACCAGTCTGTGATCACGCTTTCCAGTCGTGATTTCTAATCACAATCTGTGTGAGTAGTGCCTCCTATAAGAGGCGAAGTCACATATGTTATTCCTTTGTGATCACGCTATCATCACAGGCATAATCACGGCGTGAAATGTTCTTCCCGCAGAACTAAATCTTTTCGGTCGCTAATTTTCCAAATTCATCAATTAAATGCACCTAATCAACATCTGGAACTGTGCACAACTCCCATATCTTGACCAAAAATTAAAAATACTCCCTTGCTCGTGGAAAGTTGAGACACGATAAAAAGGTCCAAAGAGTTATCCAGGCCTCCTAGTGAACGTCACGTTTCGTAGTGAAGAATAAACTCGGAATCAAGTATGAGCAAAGCATTTATTTCATTTAATGTGTATAATTCTTAACTTAATTTTTTCTTTGATGACAGGGACACTTAGAACAACAAGCAGTCTCACTTTTTCAACAGCCTGAAAGGAACAGGATGGTTATGGAAGATTGCAGTCAATAAAAGTAATTATTCTGAGCTCCTGAAAAGAGAAATGGGCCATTTCATTCTAACCTTTAACTAATATCAGCAACTGATATAAGTACCTTTAAGTCATTAATTGCAATTGAACACTAGCATTGCTTGTGTTATGAGCACTGCCTTGTAAAGAAATCAAGAAGTACGTAAAGTTATATTAAGCAGTCCTTACTGCGAAAGCTTATACATGTTCGCACTTCATGTAATTCAAGCTGGTTAATAGTTTTCAGTTGAGTGTCAAAAGTCCTAACTTATTCCCGTTCCTCTATTATCTCTAGTTTTTCCCGCTATCAGACCTTTATTAAATCATGTACGTTGTATTTAATCTAGTTTTCACTTTACGACACTCAGTTGAAAATGCTTCAGGTAAGATAAATGTATTTATAGAGAGTTGTACAATTTCTCTAAAACTTAATGATTGATTTCACTATTCTCCTATATTTATATAGTTTAACAGCTGACCTACAAAATGATTCAACCTATTTTAGTGTCCTTTGAGTAGATTATCTTCGATTTACGTTAAATCTTGTTTAGGTTTATTAAGAAGTAGCAAGAGTTGATCTCATTTGCTATGCATTTAACTTTCTTCTCGGACACGGAAGATAAATAATTGACTACTGAGGGAGTCGTGTATAACTTCATTCCTATCCCTTAACTCTTACCCTATCCTTAACCCAAAATACTGAACACTGGCATTTGGGATTCCTTTTCCACGCCATGATTAATGGTTTTATAGGGTTGGAACAAGGGTAATATATTTCTTTTATAATAAAGCTCGGATATAACACGTAGTGTCATTGGTTGAAAGAGCGTGCTCTATGAGAGTATAGAGCATAGAACTGAGCTAAAGCTGTCACGCCATCTGCCAAATCGTATTATGTCCGACCTTTTCCGGGACTTCTTTCTAGCTTTTCTTTCGTTAATTGAAAGTGAAATTTCGGAACAAGAGAGCAAAGGTTTGCAAAAATGCCAGGCGCAGTAATTTACGTTACTGTAACGTGAGCAGAGACAAAAATCCTCAAAGATAACACAAGATAGACAGTCCGAGTTTTTTTAACGGTTTTCACACTCAGTTAGATTGCGAGTTTATGTGTGGTAATAAAAATCAAACACAGCTAACACTTGTATAATAATATAAAGTTTCGATTTCAAACAGAAAAAAACAGGAATGATGAAAAATATAACCTGGCATAACTGTTAAAATTCATATTAATCATGACGGTGTCAGAGCGACTTAAGGTCTATCGCGGCTAGCTAATCATGGCGATCTTCGGTCATCGCAATGGAGCAAGCCTCAGGAACTAAATCGACTACCCTTCGAGTGAAAAAATAAGAGCCTGCCCTGATTACCTTTCCGATACGTTGAGTGGAAGGCCAGATCAGTCACTGCAACCGAGTTTTGCGGCGCTGTCATTCCGAGCGATCTTCATTTCTTAGTGAATTCGGCTGTTGTTCCTTCATAATTCACTCGCCTTGAACAGTTTGTTTTCTACTTGTCATGTGAAATAACTTGCGTATTTTTGTGAGCCACGATTGGGCCGAATTTCACTGAACATTTCACTTTCAGATCCTGTATTAGAAACTAGAAAACTTCAGGCAAAAGTGTTAAATTCGACATGCCGAGCTATTTTAGTTTGTAAACTATTGCAGAATATGAACTTTGATGGTTTTTGAACTTTGACGGTTTGACATTTTTGACAGCTTTAGTCTTGTACAGCCAATCAGATTATTTGAACCATTCTAACAGGGATTCTGATTGGCTTATTGTAGCGTGCTTTATGAGAGTATAGAGCATGCTGACGACACTGTTGTTCGCTTTGGAAATAAGATTTGTTTTGAAAATTGAAAGTAATTCTTGGGGAATTTAACGGATTATTTTATTATAAAACAAATAGAGAAGCCTTGACTGTGCTCTGTTTTGTTGAAAAGCACTTAGGAAGCGGCTAGAGCACTCAAGAAGTGGGGAGAAACACTCGACTACGTCTCGTGTTTCCCCCTACACTTCTTTCGTGCTCTAGCCGCTTCCTGCGTGCTTTACAACAGAACAGAGCACAGTCAAGGCTTCTCTATTTGTTAATTAAAACCCCTCAACTTAGAAAGATTTTCATTTTAGTGTGAAACTGCAATAAAAAAAGTTAAACTTTAACGCCATACCTTATTTAGTCCTTACATAATCGTGTTGCTTTGTTTTTAAAGCATCTATCAGACTGAACATATCATTAGCACAAACAAAAGCGACATCTAAATTTCAAAATAAACTGAAGCTAAAATTATCATACCGTGCAAGATATTGCGTCCTGTACTGCAGCCTCTAACGTTTTGAGACACGAGCTTCGTCATATTTTGTTAGTTATCATACTGACTGATGTTCTTGCTCGTCTAGGATTTCACTATTTAAGCATTTTTCCTTTTTCTCCTTTCTTTTTTGTTTGTTATTACTTCTTTAAGCAGTGACTGATTATTTATGATTATTATTATTACGAAAGAGATGCTTTGTATAATGTGAAATTCAAAGCATTTTTGATTACAAGTTGACAGGACATCATCGGCGTATAATCTCTATAGAAGAAATTCTATGGAAGACTTCGCAGAATCCCTGAAGTACGTGTACCTGAGGATCATTTTATGAGTTCCCTTATTCATTGAATTTTTTGCTTCACATTCAATCTGTACCACAGTAGCGTGAGTAACAAGCAGGTGGGTAAAGTTTGTAGATGAGGTAGGATCCACAATTTTTGACTGAAATTCGGATTTCATATTTGCAACCGTCAGAACGATCACTAAAGCAGACCTTCCTTTTACCTTTACCATCTTCCACTGTAGTATGAGCATCATCCAACCAACCTGACCAGTCTGCACCACATCTGTATGCTGGCACACGCATTTTTGGTATTTTTGTTCCGGCAGCTCCCACCAAACGATACTATACCCGAGGGAGTTGGCATGGGGAATTCTTATCACAAGCATTCTGAAGGAGAAAAAAACACTAAAATGATAACTGAGAAAGGTCGAGGGTTTGAGTGAAAGAAGATACTAAATACAGTATGATCAAATGCACGATAATTTGCATAAACATTCATAATTATTTCCATATTATTCAAAGGCGACGATTTCGAAAACCGATTTGTAACTCACCTTCGAGCCACGATAATAAAAATCGGCATCAGTTGTCAAGTCATTGTCATATCTCGGATGCGTGGCGTTATTTAGTTCACAGATGTGAACTGGTTCATTATTCTCCGGATCTTTTTTGAAGTTAGAACTCACGCAGTTGTCGTTCAGGTAGCACATTAACTCACAGTCATCCAAGTTCTTGACACGTTTTTCTTCGATAGTATGGTTCACCAAACGCCTTTCAGCAATGGAGTGGTAGTCTGGGAACAGCATTTTGCGATTTCGCTCGGAAAAATACATAACAGTAATTTTAGTGATGATAACAATAATGATAATAATATGTTTTCTCCACTAATAAATAGTAAGGTCAAACTTTTAAAAACTTTGGAGAATCCCTCGGTGGAAAAAAAGCCTAACCCTAACATGAACTAAAACTTTGATGAGAGGTGCTTGATTTTCGATTGTTTCATGAAGAAATACATAATTGAAAAAATTCCCTAGGACTCTTTTTTATTGAACAGTTATTATCCTCATGCTAATTTCCATTGAGACCAACCATTCTTGTCTGACATCATGCAGTATATCATTCGAAATGTATCAATTTAGGGTCAAACCTTTTTTTCAACTTGCATTTTCTCCGGCGAAGGAAGGCTTTAAACAATTGTCTTATAGTCTTTCCTCTTTTCTACGATTTTTTTTTATTATGGTTATACATTCATCCCCTATTTACATTTTATAGCTCCCCTCATGTAAAAGTCAACATAGTTTACATGTCGAAAAAAAAAACATTACTTGAATCAATTTTTGTAAGCCTCGGAGAATTTTGGTGAAATCATCAAATAATAGAAAGTAGAAATGAACTATAGGGCTAGGTCACTGATGTCGATATTAGTGTTGAAAATATTCCGTGATTCGTCAGACAGTGCGCTTTATAATTTATGTTTTCAATGCAACATAAATTTAAGTCGATCGACTACCATTATTCAGTAATGCATTAATCAATACAAACCGACGCGTTTATATTAAAGACTGGGGTCTAGCAGCGGTAATTGTGGACTAAATAGGACTGCTAATTCAACAATATACGCACGTTTCATGTCTGTGATGTTTGATGTTTTTTTAGGTAAGAATCCCCATTCGTTATTCACAAAAAAATTAGACGAGAGGATTGTTTTTTACAAATTTCGTTTCGCAACAACATGAATTTAAGTCGCTTGTAATCAAAATAAATGGAGTAGATTTAACATGATATCACTGTGAACATAAAAGGTGGCGTGCAAACGCAAGGAAAGCTGTCATTTCGACAGCCATGTTTTTCTTTCCGCCTTACGGATCGATCCACTTTCAGTAATTTTTTTTGGGGGGGAGCCAGCATGTAAAATACGCGAGTCAGGATCGGAGTCAGCGCGCGAGACCACGGCTAGTAGTCGTGTGCAACTTCACTGAGATTGATTATAATTATTTGCTGTGGAAGCATGCTGGAAAATTAAACTTCCCTCCGACACTAATCACGTTAAGTTGGCTACCATGGGACACACGCTCTCGGTTGTCGTAATGGTGAATTAAAGTTTGCAAAAGATGCAGCGTCATCTACTGTTTTAATTTAGCGTAGTCGTTGACTTAGTGCCGTATACACGCAAATAGATTATTAACGAAAGAAAATGTGGTAAAATGCAATATGTCTTATTTCTATCATTTATTCATTCACTCATTAAACTATTTGTTATCGCAATAACAATTTTAGAGATGAAAAGTTACCAGATTTTCTGTATTTCTGAACATTCTTAACTTATGTGAATAGCAACCGAAAATCCCAACGTTAACTGTCGTACTGAAATGAATTATGGTCTTTCCAATCATATTGAACTAAGATCCCCTTCTCTCTGGGCCGAGTCTGACCAATAACGACCGTAACTGATCAAGTGGTTTCTTCTTTTCTCGAGTTTTCTTCTCTAAGAAGCATAGGTATATTAAGATGAATTATTTGTAAAATTTTGTCACATGTCTCCAAGTATGGTAGGATTATCAAAAAATGTATCAACTGCCCCTCCTCGAAGGGTTCTTTTCTAGGCCCTAATGGTTTTTAAGTAATGGAACAGCAACAGATTTATTTATTTATTTACAGCTCTTCTGTTCAAATGGATGCTACTGCAGTAGAAAGAAAGCATCGAATAATGTTCGATCATTGAAAACTTTATTAACCTACTTTTCGATAACGCATACAGCGAGAATGACACGTCGATTTCCGAAATAAGTTCTTTTCTTTGTCATGAGTCCTTATTATCATTGCATATATATATTTTTTTTAATGATAGCATTTACCAGGCGACAACAGCGTAAAAATCTACCAAAATATTAAACATCGCGACGCGAAGGCCCTAAAATACAACGATTATGAATCCTATTACTATGGAAACTCTTCTCTGCATATTCAGTCTGTGCCACAGTAGCGCAACGGACACTTGGACGTCTGATAAAGTTTGTAGATATAGTAGGATGAGCAGTTCTTCACAGAAATTTGGGTAGTATGATAGCAACCTTTAGAGTGATCACTAAAGCAGACCTTCCCATAAACTTCACCATCTTTCACAGTAGGATGAGCACCATCTAACCAGCCTGGGAATTTTGTACCACATTTAAATATTGACACACGCGTTGTTGGCATTTTTGTTCCTGCAGCTCCCACAAAACGATATCATCCCACAGGGAGTTGGCTGTCACAAAACGTTGATCCATGTAACAGTGTTTTGTGAATTCTATTTCGATTGGCATCACTCAGGTTTTTGTAATGATAACAAGGATCGGCTACACAGTGAAATGATAATTACAAAAGGATTTAAGTTATTAGAAATTATTGATTGCATTAAGTAAGAGGTCATGTGATATCATACTGTTAAACGATAAAAATGGGAATATATCTAATCTAAAAATATTGTAAGCGTTTCCAATATTGGTGTTGGGGGAATGAATGGAAATAATATATTCCATTCCGTTAACATTGTAATAAGCCAGTTGATCATTTCTTATTCCTTTTTGTGGTCTTATCTTACAAATAGAGTTTGGTCACCTTTTCCTTAATATATATGATCGTGAATTTCACATGGAGACAGATGTTTTGCGTAAACTGCGGTTTGCGACTAGTTACTGGTATCCTTTCATCATGTTGTTCAAAAACAATTAATTACAAAGAAAATGACTCTACCCTATAAAAATTGATCCTGCACAGGAGTTTCCTGGAAATATTCTTTCTACGGTGACCCTCATTTTTTCCTCGAGAGATCAGAGCTATTCCCCGTTGTGACAGCTAGTGTAAAAGGTTAGAATAAAGAAAAAGTCAACAGAACGAGTGTTAGAGTAAATTTTACTCTTAACAATACTATGAGGCTAAAAAATCAATATGAGAAATACATTTATTAACCATAGATAGCAGTATCTTAATTCATGTTTTCTTTTTTTTTTGTTCTATAGCGCATTAAAGGACAGCTTTCGGTAAACTAAAGGTGCAGGTAACGTAGTTCACTTATAACCAAGCAGCAATATGGTCGTTAATGACCACCTGAGTAGAGATGATTCAGATCGAGTCAAACCAATCAGGATCATAATTAATTTAATGGCATGATAGATAACAAACGTACTTCAATACTTAACACCATTCCCGATAAGATGTGGGTTACAAGAACAGTTGTATGAGCCCTGGGTATTAATGCAAGAGGCATTCGGATGGCATTATTTTATATTATAAACATGAGCCTCGCTGCATTCGTCAATATGTGAAAGATAACACGCCTACTAAGTCAAGATAAATATACAACGGTATGCAATATAAGATAGAGAAAACTAAATGTCACAGATTTAGTACTCATAATCTTTGAAAAGCGATGTTTATCATAAAAAGAGCAAAATGTTTTTTCAAAAAATCGGACATCAACGACAACGTGAGGATATGAGAAATCAGCCATTTATCCATCTAAATAGTGCTACCATTAAAATAATTTTAGGTTCTAATTATGAATAAAATTGTTATTGTTAAGAGAAATAATTGTACTTTCCAATGATTAAGATTCATCTTTAATTGGTTGACTGTGTTTCAGTGGCGCCTTAGAACGAAGTAAGCACATGCATAGGAAATATACGGAATTAACAATCAAGGAAATGCTGAGTATTGTGGTGAAGCTTGCAAGATGTACCTTGCGAAGCATTTTATATGCTATTGTCTTCATCCTAAATCTTGCATCTTATACTTAACAAAGGGTAAATTATGATTTGCCTGGTTTTTACTCAAGAATTCATGAAATAATCGCTTCGGGAAGTCAAACGCCGCTTGCCATAGCAATGCTACTAACGCTGAAGGAAAACGCCTTTTTGGCCATGACGGAAACATTACAGTACTGATGGTCTTAAAATAATGAGGGAACTTTGAGCGGCAGGCTTGTAAAACATCAAGGCGGCGAAACAAAAAATACATTTTATTCGTACCTTGAATTATGCACTGCCTCTATTTCATTTTCTAAGCGCAGGAGTTTATGAAGAAACGGTTGCTGAATTTTTTTTCATTATACCTTTACTTTTAATAATTTGTCTTGAAAACAAACACAAATAATTTTAAAAAAATTAAGAATAAAAATAAAAGAAAAATTGTAGGTTCTGCGTAATTTAGTAAGCAGAGTATACGTGGAAGCTTTATATAGTAGGGTATTAGAATGAACCGTAATTATAAGTTCATGATAAAATTTCCTTAACAAAGTAGAGGAAAAGTTAAAACAATGCTGACTGAAGTATATTGATATGGTTAAAATTTATTAGTAGAGGCCGCAGTTGTCATCATAACTATCATTTATATTTAGCATCTTAAAGCTCTACTCCAATTCGTTTGAAATAATCCGCAAAAGCTAAAATTTGAAATGAAATTGGTTTTCAGCCCGTGTTGTCTCATTCGTTTTCTGATTTATCTTCCTAATCCTGTTTAAAAGAGGAATATGAGCATTTGCACTCTTTCTCCGTTTGCATTCGCTTCATGGCAGTAAACAGTACACGAAGGTTATTACGTTTGTAATTCCATCTCATCTTACGTACGAACTGTTACGTAAACACCGAGAAAAGTTTTCAAAGGCATCCGGTTTCAACTTTTCAGTAATTTTGTTATGGCGGTGTTGAAATCCCAGGACTTCCAACTTTAAGCTAGTCCGTACGTGCTTCGTTGGGTGTTTTTGTTCCGAACAAAAACGTTAATATAATTTTTCATAACCACTCGAACTCTAACATCGTTAATGTATCTTTCTCTCCCGGTCAAATTTTTCTAAAAAGAAACTCGCTTGGAAGATAACAGAAAGTTTCAAAGACGACACGTGGTTAAACGGTAGATTTTTTTCTTTAGAATATTGAAATCATGTACACATAATATATACAATTGCAAAAAATCCGGCATTGAGCAACTCCAGCGAGCTTACTTCCTTTAAAAGTGCCTCTAAACTTTACAATAGCAGAATTAGATTCAGGCCGAGAGGAGGCCATTACTTTTCTTAGATACTATGGATAACAATGCTTTTCCCATCATTCTTTCCTGCGAACACCCCCTACCCTCCCCTCCTCTTCCTCTCCTTTATGGTTTTATGTTTTATTTATTTCATTTTTTTTTGTTTTTGTTTTTGTTTTGTTTTCTGTTTTTCTCTCGTTTTAACCTATTAGCACTGATAAGGATCGGGACTACAAAAAGTGCCCTCTTGCATCCGTTTTTTAAATATTTGGTTTTTGATTCGAAGATCGTAAATTAGAACCTACCCCCTTCGAGACTACAAAAAGGCGCCCTCTTGCATCCGTTTTTTAAATATTTGGTTTTTGATCCGAAGATCGTTAATTAGAACCTACCCTCAGAATCCATTCTCACAAAACATTTCATCGAAGACTGTGACGTAGGTGCTCCTTCTGTCCTCATTACTCAGGACTTTGTAATTTACACGTGGGTCGACTACAAGATTGACCAATAATTACAAATCATCGTCATCATTTTTCCTTAGTTTTTAGAGTTATCTGGGAAAGCAATGATTGTTAAGGCTCCATAAGTTCTAAGGAAAATACCACGCCCGTATTAAGTAAAACCAAGTTTAAAACTATTTCACAATTTTTAATTACATCGATTTCATTTTCGGATGATATTCGAGAAAACTGATGATAAACATTCCTTACATATTCAAGAGTGCACGTCTGGGGAACTTGAGTAGCAGTGCGGGAGGTATTAAAATGACAGTTTACTATTTGGACGGCATGAAAATAATTGCGATCGTACGTCAGTATTGTGAAGAGAACGTACTCGATAAAGAAAAAAAAAGGGTGTGATTTGAACGAGCATAGAACGAAGTAACCCGAGTTGCCCCTTAAGATTCGAGTTACTGCAGTTGGATATTCTGCCAGTTGAGTCTATATATAAGTTAACATGATAAAAGTTTCTTTTCACGACTGTCTCCTGTGTATCTCTGCTTACCTGAGCAGTTAAGAGGGAGATATTAGTTTTGGTTAAGTTCGCATTCACGTCCTTGTATGGCTGAAAGGGTCTGACATAGTCACCTTTACAGGTACGATTGTAAGAGCCATAAGTGTTAATACAGTCCACTTTTTCAAATGGATCTTGAGCATCATCAATGACTTCTTCTGTACCATGAAAGAGAAAACATGAATATTGAGGACGACGAGAAAAAGCAAGATGTTTTTTGGTTTATCACCTTGGTCATAATAAACCGTAAATGAATCCGCACACTTTTCCTTACAGTTTCATTCATACGATCATACCGCCGTATTGTCACACAAAATATCTGTGAGCACTGTTGTAAGCCTTTTCGCTGATTATGCTAGATTTTTTAAAGAATTAGGGGTCAGTCATCGCTGATCACTTGGAAGGGCGGAAGGGGGAGGGGAGAGGGAAGGGAGGTTTCTGGGGGGAGGGGAACATATGAGGGAATAGAGGGGTATTAGTCATCACCGACAAAGTCTACAGGGGGAGACATGACTAAGAATATTGACTGGCAACTGATTAACTTTTGATAAAGTGCGAGAGGATCAATAGAATATTAAAACCTTATGTGTGAAGTAAGATCTAAATTGTTTGCTAATTACCTTTGTGTAATTTTGTATTGGTATATTAATTTATTTCCTTTATTTTCCCTACCTCCTTATGAGTATTTTTTGTTATATTTCTCATCATTTGACTTCTTTACTTACAGCTTATTTGTGTTACTTGGATATATTTCTTACTGCACGTAACTACGCAATCGTCTTATATTTTTTATGCATAATCATTTTTCTATGTCAGTTTAACTAAAATGGCCACCATAAAGAGTTTAAAAAGTGACTTTTCGAGTGTTTGCCCTTCGTCGGAGCTCTAATGAAGGCCTAACGCCCGAGGCGTCAGCTTTTAAACTCTTCACGGTGGCGAATTTACGTTATCAACTCGGTTGATAAAACTAAATTGCTTTGTAGTACTCTCCCACCGACGCAGCACCGCATTTTATCTAGAAACTCCCTCCCCCCCACTCAATTCAGTTTACCGAAAGTAAAGTTCCTTGTAGATTTCCCTCCTTCCTCTACTTAGCAATTATTGGCCGATGGCGAAGTGAATATTGTTGAATAATGATCCCCGAGACGAAGTCGAGGGAATTATAACAATGTTCACAGAGCTTGATGCGAATAATTGTTGCAGTTTAATTGCACAAGATCTTTTGAATTCTGTTGTCAATTCTGCAAACAAATAGAGCATTGCGCATATTTTGTTACAATTCATTCGTGTCGTGATAAGCAAGGAGGTTTTGCAGGTTTAGCCAATTAAATCAGCAAATAATTAATATCTCTCTTTTGAAAAAAGTTCCACCATACTCAGAAGCATTTTTGTGCTCTTCGCAATTTAATTTTCTTTTACCACGTTTATCACTTCCGTGGAAGCATAACCAAAACGCGAGGCAGCCAGTCCCTACTATAATCATCTCCTGCGAGGCGATTAAAGCGAGGTATGATGCAATGCTCGATCAATCAGAGGACGCGTATCTCTCCAATCACCTATGTCAATTATACTGACACGTGACATCGTAGATTACGTTATTCGTCACTCACTCACCTGATGATGAGGACCTTAACCCTTTAATCACTCTATTTTGGAGCTTTCGGTTAAGCTTTGTAGAATTAATTCAGGATCTTTCAGTTTTTATATTTTTTGGACTGTGTTTTCTTGTTTGGTGTAAAGCGGTATGTCACTTTTAGGTTATTCTCATTGAAAATGTTATGGAGTTTGTGCGATTTGTTAAAATGATTATCTATTACAAATGCAATCCTATGAATGAGTGACATTTCTTATAATTATCCATGCCGTAAGACGGATTAAGCCAGATAATATTTTTCCGATGTTTTCAAGATTTGGACATTTTGTGCAGGCGGATTTAGGTAACATATTCGTGCAATTGTGAGTTTCTTTAATCCCTGGTTGTCCCGAGATCTAGATAAAGTTTATTTTTTCGTGATTATCGATGCCGGAACTTGCCCAGGTGATGGTTCAAGGGTGTTTGAGTAAGTGTCAACGAATTCGAATGATGGATTGCTGCCAGCTTTTCGAAATGGATTGTATCTGCAGTGTGACAAACGCCAGAGACCATCTGTTTAGAGGAGTGGTCACTACTCCATAAAACGTCAATAGCTTAAAATCTAATATCTTCCCTCTGCCATTGATTGATAAACTTTGCTCATAAGGGCAACGAGTAGCCAAAAATATTAAATCAATGAATAACTTTGTAGATCTTTGAGTGACGTGAAAGACCGACTTTAAGCTGGAATATTTTAGAAGGAAAATCCAAAAGATTTGTTAGTTTTGCTTAAATAACAGATACCAAATGTCTTCTTAAGGAGTGGAAAACAAAACGGTGCTGTGAAGTCTCCAGGTTCATCCTACATAACTTTCAAACTATAGGATACGGATCAGTTCTTACCTCTTAACTCGTTGTGGTCATGGGTTTACGTAGGATGTTTTCTTACAAACACCACTGCGATAAGTACGGCAATGGACACTATGATAGCAACAACAGTTACCAAACTTTTTCGACGGCATCTTGTGAGACAATAGATAGCTGCCGCTACATGTCTGCCTTTGGTTTCTGACGGCTGTTCATCAGGACCTTCACGTTTTGAATGAACATGATCCACAACGATTGTCTGCTTCTCTTTCGACGCCACATCCTTTCCTCTGCCATGAATGTCGGATTTACTTCGTTTTTATCGTAAATTTTAGCGATCTTTTGAAAGTGCTTCAAAGCCACTTAAGGGAACGACGAAACATTTACCGAAAAAAGAAAACGACTTGAGCCGATATGGAGTGATCTAGGCAATCTGATTGCACTTGACGAGATCTAACCTAGGTCAAGACTTCTTTCAAAGGCACGACTTTTCTTTATTTTTTGTTTTGTTTTGTTTTGCTTGTTTGTTTTTTTTCGTTTTAATATAAAGGTCACATTTTACTTAGTTTTGCAAACACAATACAATCCAGGATTTACTGAAGAGGGGTGTGGACAAATGTCCGATGAGGATAACATTTTTGATCCTCGGAAAATTTAATTTCCTATATTTTATGGGGTCATTGTTTGTCGTTGCGATCCTTTGGACCGACTGGGTTTTAGTCATTAAAACATCCACCGTGTCCACTAAGTTTTTATTAGGAAGCGCGCTCGCTTAAACTTTTTCCGAACCACTCTTAAATAACTGAAATAACTGAGTTACTACAAAGTGCCCTGCACAGGTAAACTCATAAAATATTTGAACACACTGAGTTTTGTGTGACGTTTACTTCATAGGGGCAATGGACAGTAATCTCTTTCGGATAACCGGCGTTGTAACCGAACAGTCACAATCACTCGCTTCCGACTCGTGATTTACACAATTTTCTCGTGTTCTCCCAACGTCATGCACGGGTGTCTACGCTGGTAAACCGATAGAAAATGCGGTCTATTGCTTTATACAAACATATAAATGTGGGAAACATTCTTCGCTTCATAATAAGTTTATGTTACAATTCCGTAAAGTGGATCAAACGTTGACAAATACATATTGGTATGGTGGCTTTCAATGAGTTTTTCTGGGTGTACATTTTTGCTGCAAAGAAAAAATGATGCGACTTATCTGGTTGAAAAATTGACGTAACTTCTATAATTCGAACAAGAATCAAAAGCAAAGAAATCAAATTATCCTGCCAAAAATTTCTTTACTGTTATGATATTTCAAAAACGAAGAAGTTTTCAAGTTGTTTTATTTATCCCTGAGGGTTTTTTAGCTTTAATACTCTGTCAATTTTGGCACGAACCCCCATACAACCTGTCCTAACAGAGGGATCAAGCACTCTTCGACTCGTTTAAGGTACCGCACCAAGTTGTTGATGCGGTTAATGATACAGTTTGGGCTGGCAAACTTGCAAATTTATTTACAAATAAATGTCTTTTTACAGACCTCACGGGTTAGCACAATGAAATAAACTTACGCCCCAGCAGGAACTGTAGACAATTATCCATTTCCAGTCTGGAAATGACAATATTTTGATTGTGTATTTCTATGCTGTGCTGTGACGACACGCTGAGACCATCGTTCGTGACATGTACGTCACACCGGGCCTTGTAACAGTTGTTGGACATAGTTGCTTAAAAACAATCCAGTGGCTGGTATTTTGTTCTTCAAAGATATTAAATTTCGAAAGAATGGTTCTGCTGTATTCAAGGTTTTTTTTATGGAAGATTCCAAATATTTATGTTTCAATGGAGCAAAAAAACTGTCACAGAGTAACATCTCTTGGTGATTTAAATGCTACGGAAATTCAACAAAACATAATTGAAATGTTTGTTGAACGCGTTTACTTCGGTTAGTTTCGAGAACAATTCTTTTAGCGCACAAGGCTGTTTTTAAATTTTCTATTTTTTAAAGGGCAGTCTCATCGGTTAGAAAAATCTTGGTATCTAAAAAATATATTAAAGTTTACACAGCAACCAGGTGGACAATCAGACATGGTTTGATGCTACTATGGTTTACATTCAAGGTGTTACGGAAACCATCAAGAATATTTTGAATATGCTTCGAAATCAAGTGATTACCTATACAAACTGAAGCTAAATTACCATACTGTGCTATATATTGCGTCCTGTATAGCAGCTTCTAACGTTTAGAGAAAAGAGATTCGTCATGTTTTGTCAGTTATCATGCTGATTCCTGCTTGTCTAGGATTTAACTATTTAAGCATTTTCCTTTCTATACTCTTCTTTGTGTTTACTAGTAATTCTTTTAGCAGAAATTAATTATTTGTGATTACAATTATGAAAGAGATACTTTGTAAAATGTGAAATTCAAAGTATTTTTGATTACACGTCAAAGGGAAATCATCAGCGTAAAAAAATTATAGAAAAAATTAATGATTATCATAAAAGAGGACTTCGAAAAGTTCCTAGATTATGTGCACCTAAGGATCAATTTATGAGTTCTCTTATCTCTTAAAATTTTTGCTTTAAATTTTGTCTGTGCCACAGTAACGTGCATTACAGCTTGGAGGCTTCAAAAGTTCGTAGATATAGTATGATCCACAGTTTTTCACAAAAATCTTCTTTAACTCTTTGCAACCATTAGGGCGATTACTAAAGCAGACCGTCCTTTGAACTTTACCATCTTCCACTGTAGGATGAGAACCATCCAACCAGCCTGACCAGTCTGTACCACATCTGTATGCTGGCACACGCTTTGTTGGCATTTTTGTTCCCGCAGCTCCTACAAAACGATACCATCCCTCAGATAATGGGCTGTCACACGAACTTGAATCGGCAGGTGTTACGTAACTCATCTTTCTATTCGCATCACTCAGATTTTTATAATGATAGCAATGATCGGCTACAAAGTGAAATAATTATTACAACAGGACTTGGGTTATTAAAGAAGACAACTACATTAAAATTAGAGAGGTGAAGTAATACTTGCGTGGGGCATTTTCGGACCATGAGGCTAAGAAATAAATATTGGAAATAAAATTTATAAACTACGAAAAGCAGTCTCTGAATTTGTGTTTCCTCTTTCTTCAATAACGCATTAAAGACAGCTTTCGGCAGAATTAACGCGTAGCTAACGTACTTTATATATAACTAAGCAGCAATATGGTCGTTAATGGCCACCTGAATAGGAAAGATTCAGATCGAGTCTAACCTATAGCCATCTTAACTAATTTAATGGCATGGTGGATACCAAACGTACCTTTACAGTTTGTACCATTCCCAATGTATTTAGGTTTACAGGAACAGTTGTATGAGCCCTGAGTATTAGTGCAAGAGGCATTCGGATGGCAGTTGTTCATTTTCACTGCATGAGCTTCGCCGCATTCGTCGATGTCTAAAAGAGAACATACATTTCGTCATAATCAAGCTACAACGAATGTCAATCAAAAGAACGTTTCACGCCGTCGTCTATTATTGTTGCATCGCCCATGCAATGGCAGAAAGACGCAAAAAGCATCAACGATGAAGGGGTCCGTAACATGATTTAAGGCGGGGTAATAGAAATAATCCAATACTCATTATGATAAAGTTTGGATATAACGCGTTCTGTCATCGGTCGAAGAAGAGTCCTCTATCAGTGTACTGAAAACATATACTTAGTCTGACCATTTCTCGAACCTCTCCCTATCTTTTTTTATTAATTGAAAGTAAAATTTCGGAATGAGCGAAGTAGTAACAGAAGAACCAAATTAAGGTTTCAAAACATACCAAGCGCCGTAATTTACGCTATCATAACGTGAGCAGAGAGAAAATGCTTCTCGACTACGTCTAGCGTTTCTCTCTACACTTCGTTCGTGCTCTAGCTGCTTCGTGCGCGCTTAAAAAAAACAACAACAACAGACAAAAATTCATTGCAATAGTCAAAACGCTGAAATTATTGACTGTACCTGTACAGTTGCGTCCATCTCCAGTATATCCAGGTTTGCATATGCAAACGTGTGATCCATGCGTGTTGTTACAAAGAGCATTTACGTCACATTTGTTGGAATATGTTTTGCATTCGTCAATATCTGTCAAAAAAAAAAAAAGAAAAGAAAAGAAAAAGTAGAAAAGAATGAAAAATGGAATTTGTGTTTTATTCAAAAGTCATACATGTACATGTATATGAAAAAAAGTGGAACACTTATTTGCAATTTTTTTGTTTCATGCGATTCTCGGGTTGGACCTACAATTCAAACCGCTATTTTTTCAATTTTTTTCTTTGGCATGGCAAAGACTATCTAAAGCATACGCTATAAACTGCTCTTGTTTTCCTAAAGGAGCACAAAACACGTTATATATACAAAAAAAAAAAAGAAAGAACTAAAATAAATCATCCATGACCGCATTTCCTTGCTATTCCGAATTCACCTGTGCAATTTTGTCCATTTCCAGTATATCCAGGCTGACAATCGCATACGTGTGATCCATTGGTGTTGGTGCAGTTTGCATTCTCATGACAAGAGTGGTTTCCTTTACACTCGTCAATGTCTATGAAACCACAGATGAAAAAATGGGATTTCAGAATTATGCAAATATTGCCGTGGCATAAGCCTTTACTGTGTTATCTAAAGCATACGCTTTAAACTGCTCTTGTTTTGCTACGGGAGCACAAAACACGTTATATATACCAAAAAGAAAGAACGAACTAAAATAAATCATCCTTGACCGCATTTCCTTGCTATTCCGAATTTACCTGTGCAGTTTTGGCCATTTCCAGTATATCCAGGCTGACAATCGCATAAATGTGATCCATTGGTGTTGGTGCAGTTTGCGTTCTCGTGACAAGAGTGGTTTCCTTTACACTCGTCAATGTCTATGAAATCACAGATAAAAAAAAATGGGATTTCGAAATTATGCAAAAATTGTTGTGCATAAGCCATTACCGTGTTTAAAGAGTGCAAGCCGCGGCTGTTTTCAATCTTCTGCTGGATTGCGAGAACGCGAGATTGTCGTACCTGATGAAAAAAGTTGTCTACGCAAAAACCTATCTCTTGATAACTTTTTAGTCAGGTAACTGTCTCACCTATTCTAAACAATTAAAATATGGCTTGCCACGTTACCAAAATAAACATCAACAAACAACGAACCAAACAAAATCTCATTACATTATTCAACAAGAATCTAAAGGCTTTTGAGACTAATGAAGGTTACCTGTACAATTATGCCCATCTCCGATAAATCCAGATTTGCATATGCACACGTATGATCCGTTTGTGTTATTACACGTAGCCTCCCTGTGACATTTGCCAATGAATGCCTCACATTTATCTGTCGTAAAATTAGAAAGAAAGAAGGACCAAAAAAAAAAATACATGAATAAATATCAATTACAGATATAAGCATTTTGATTTCTATCAAACAGCCATAGGAACTCAGCAACTCAGCAACTCACAAAAACCTCAATTTATTTGTAGCTTCCTGCTTTTAGTAGTTCTCTGGCCGTACTTTTCAATTAAGCTATTATTTCTGAGCTCTCCTTGCAGTTACTTTATTAAGCACTCGACATACGAATGAACTGCTCTTATTTTGCCATGGAAAGGCGTCGAACATTCAAGGTAAATAAAAAATAATAAAAGATAAAACAAAAAAACAAAAACAAATACAAATACAAAAAACAAAACAAAAAAACAACAAACAAGCAGACAAACCAAAACAAAATAAAACCAAAATATACAAACGAGCGAACGAAGAATACATTACACACGCTCAATAAAATATAGTAAGAAATTTTTCTTAGATTCTAAGATTCAGCACGTTATACAATGACATAAATTCACGCCACTTTCAGCAACTAAAGAACAGTTGTCATACCAGCATTGAAAATCAGAAAAAATCTCATATACGTTCATTTCAAGTGTTGACTTAGACTCATACCCTTTTCACAATATTCTCCTTTGAATCCAGGAGGACACAAGCATCGATATCCCTTGAGTGTAAATCCAGACTGGCAAGTTGCGTTATTTTCGCAGTAGGGACTCTTGTCACAAGCGTTCTAAAAAAAAAAGGAGAAACGAAATACCGAATGATCGAATACACAAAAAATTTGTATAAAGATTAATTTTGTTATAATATTATTCAAAGGCGATAACTTCGAAAAATCGATTTGTAACTCACCTTCGAGCCGCGACAATAAAAAGTGGCATTAGTTGTCAAATGACTGTCGTATTTTAGATGAGTGGCGTTATTTAGTTCACAGATGTGAAGTGGTCTATTATTCTCTGGATCTTTTTCGAAGTTAAGACTGACACAGTGGTCGTTCAGGTAACACAGTAGCTCACAGTCATCCAAGTTATTGACGCCTTTCTTTTCAATGGTATGGTTTACCAAACGTCTTTCGGCAAAGAAGTAGTAGTCCGGAAACACCATTGCGCGCTCTCGCTCTAAAATAGATAAATTGGAATATGATTATAAGGCATACTTTTCCGTCGCAAGAAAAAGAAATTTCGAGTAAAAATTTCTAAGAACAAATCTCTTCGGAAGTACGTTAAAAACGTAAGTCAAACATAGCAGTCGGTGAGAAAAACGATGATTCGTTAGATGTAATTGAAAATTTTGTAAATTGCTTCGTCGTTTTCTACAGTTAAACAATTAAATTAAAAATACCTTTATTTGAGAGTTTAGGGGTTTCTGAGATACGGAAAATTTACGGCAAATATTTCGAGTTTCACAATTCCAGAAGCTCGTACGTTTTTAGATGAGTCTATCATATCGATAGAAAAGACGAGCTCATCAAACACTCTGTGAAATTCCTACTACAGAGAGAGTTAA